AGTTTGGCTTTGAAGACTGAAGGGAAAAATATGAAGGAGATGAAGGTCTCAAAGCTGACATTTGTGATTCAGCAACTGCTTGAATGGCAGTACCTTTCACTGAGATAGGAAATGCAAGAGGAGCAGGTGGCCATCGTGGAGAGATGCTTAAATATGGGGAAATTAACACCAATCCGAGAAATGCAAGAAAGTATTTCTAAGTTTTTTTTTTTTCCAGAATGGAAATATATCTTTGTTGTTTTGCTGTTTATAAAAGTAATATGTTCTCTTTGTAATTATTTAAACAACACAGAAGTACTCCCTGTCTCAGTGTCATCCCCCAAGACCTCACCCCAAGTAGGAATATTTCCATCACCTTGGGTAACTTTAATCGAGTGCTGTTTAAGGCCAGTGACTTGTTTCTCAGTATCATGGGACTATTCTGATTTTTTCTGTACTGGGTCAAATTGAAAACAGTACATTGGATCACTTTATAGACAGTTTATTAGGTTCCTTTTTGAACAACTGTCTTGTGTTTTACCTTCATTTCCCTCTTATCTATTTGTGTAGACATTGGATCATCCTTTAACCAGTTTACTCTCCAGAAGAGATTTCTAGACCACTTCACCATTTTGACCATTTTGAAGTATACAATTCAGTGCATTAATTACATTTTTGGTGTTATGCAACCATTGTCACTGTCTAATTCCAAAGTTTTTCATCATCCCAAACAGAAACTCTGCCCATTAAGGAGTAACTCCTCATTACCCCTGCCCACAGCCCCTGGTTTACCTGTAATATACTTTCCATCTCTGTGAACATGCCTATTGTAGATATTTCATGTAAATGGAATCACACAATATTTGTCCCTTTGCCTCTGCCTTCTTTCACTTATCATAGTGTTTTCAAAGTTCATTTGTGTATAGAATGTATCATTCCTTTTTATGGCTGAATAGTATTCCGTTGTGTGTGTGCACCGTGTTTGGTTTATTCATTCATCTGTCAATAGCAACTTGGGTTGTTTCCACTTTTTGGCTACTGTGAGTAATGCTGTGAGCATTGGTGTTTAAGTGTCTGTTTAGCCCTAGTCTCATATCTTTTGGGTTTATACTGAGGAATGGAATTGCCTGGTCATTTGGCAATTCTGTGTTTTAACTTTTTGAGGACATGCCAGACTCCTTGCTTTCTTAATTATGATAATGCTTAAGTGAATATCTGTTTGCATGAAGCATTTTTGACACTTCATCTTATTTCTTTAAATTCCTTGAACTGAAATTAGTGGGTCAACAACAGTTTGAGACACCATGCTAAATGCTATCTGAAAGGCTTCAACCTCCTTTGCTGCTGCCACAAATGTCTGAGAATGCCTTTGTCACCAAACCAATATGGCACTTAATATTTCACTCCTTTAAATGTTGGAGAATATTGTTGTCCATTTCTGATGGAACCATAGTCTGGCGACAGAATGGCTTATTTGACACAGCTCCTGATCACCAGCCCCAAGTTCTTCTCCCTCTGATTCCCCTTATCCCTTGGAGATGATCCCTCCCAGTCTACAGTTCCTGTTAATCTAACTTCCCAACTGTCTCTAGTCTGGTCACTTCTCTCCATCTGCCCAGGAAAGATGAGGTTGATTTGACTTGTAAAAGGTGACCTTTTCTAAAGAGTTTTAAAAAAAGTCCTCCTAACTCTGGGCCTCCCCCTGCCACTGTGCCTTCTCTTTAGAAGGCCTGAGGCCTCTGTGGAGCTTCCTACTTTGGCTGCTTCTCACAGCTTTTCCTGTCATTCATTCCCGCTCTTCTTCAGTTCTACAGCGAGTCGGGCATGCCTACCAAACATCTTTCAGACAGCGTGTGTGCTGTGTGTGGCCAGCAGATCTTTGTGGACGTCAGTGAAGAGGGCATCATTGAGAACACATACAGGCTGTCTTGCAATCACGTGTATCCTGCCTCGAGCTCCTGAGCCACGTCTCTCCTGTGACCTGCACACTCCAGTCAGGGAGAGAAAGGGGATGGTCGTGACCCTAGCTGTGCTGTCCAGACCCTTGCATGTAGGAGAGCCACAAGAGGGCCGCCTTCCCTGCCCTTTCCCACAAATCGGAGCCACTCTTATGTAAACAGTGGTTACACTCTGGCTGGGTCCGAGAGGAACCTGAGGCTGCAGCTGGTGAAGCTGTGCTAGCAGACCTGTGTTCGGACCAGTCACAGGGGAAGAGGACCTCTAATGAGATCCCTTAGTTTAGCGTCATATCCCCTATTCTGAGTAACACTTGTAATATTTATCATGTATTCACTTAGCTCCCATTCAGTGCCTCTGTTGGGAGAGCCATGTATCATCTCTATTTTGCCCCATAACAGTCTTGTGAGATGGGGATCATTATCCTTACTTCACATGAGAGGAAACAGGTCCAGACAGAGGGACTTGCCCAAGATTATAGAGCTGATAAAGAGCGAAGCCAGGATTTGAACCTTTCAAAGACTGGCGTGGGGCTGGAGTGCCGCCCTGGCTCCCACCATTTCCCTTGACCAGCAGAGCTCAGCTTTCACGAGTTCTGCATCCGCGGTTGGTGCATCGTGGGAAAGAAGCAGACGTGTCCCTATTGCAAAGAGAAGGTAGACCTCAAGAGAATGTTCAGCAATCCGTATCCTTTGTTGGGGTCATTGTTGGGAGTGGGCTGTGGGAAGAAAGTACTGGTCAGTGTGACCTGCATTTGGGTCGTCCTGGGGCTCTCCCCTCTGCTCCCAACCAGAACATGTTGAACCATGATGGGAAGCTGAGCTGCTAGTCCTGCCCCGTGATACACCCCCAGTCTCCCTATTCTAGGAGTATTGCCTGTTCTCAGCCTCCTTGCAGCCATTGTCACGGATAGATAGATCTGTGGCTGCCTCACACTGGCAGTTCCTTCTTAGAGAAGGTGTTACAGGAGGCCCTCCCTGCATGTTGGTCATGGGGAACTAGGATTTCTCTCTCCACTTCCATCAGGTCTGTCCTGTCCCCCATACCAGTCCCCTCTGTCCTGTGTCCTGCATTCTCTGTGTTCAGCTTTTTACTCCAACGGATAGGCTGTGAGGAGGAAGAGGAGGGGGAGGGCAAAGTTGGGAGTGCTGGCTGAGTAGGAAGTAAGGCTGGGTGGGCCCCTCCAGAAAGCAGTCTCCATTCCTCTAGGCTGTGGAGGAGCTGGAAAGTGGGGCAGACCCAGGAAGCCCCCCACACCCATGCTAGCTCACCCCTGGCAGCTCTTGCACAGAGTCTCTTTAACACACTGACAGCTGGGAGAGGCCTCACGTCATGTATGGGCAACTGCTAGACTGGCTTCGATACTTGGTAGCCTGGCAGCCTGTCATCATTGGCCTAGTCCAAGGCATCAACTACATTCTGGGCTTGGAATAGTGATGAAGAGCATCACTGGAGAACCCACCCCACACGCCGTGGACCTCAGGGCACTCTCCTCCCTGCCCACAAAGAACTCCTGGGTGGGAAAGACTCAAAGGGGTGCTTGGGCCACTCAGGACCCCTCCGGCTATGTCGGACTGGGGAGGGATATGATGGAGAGCCAGCCAGTGGGGCTGTCAGCAGTGCGGGGCTTTTTAAAAGAAAACTATTTTGATGAATATATTTAAAAAACCCTTTTTTATTGTGGAGCATAGGAATTGCCCCCTCCAGGCTTCACCCTCCCCGTCCAAGCGGGGTGGGGGCAGAGCCATATTTTTGGTTTAAAGGAGCCTTTTCATCTCTGGCTGAGAACACTGCTGGGCTCCCAGGTAGCTGAAGGCCTCAGCCCACCCACTCCCTTCTTTGTGTGGGCTCAAGCCTGGTGCACTTAGTAAAGAGCTAATGTACTCAGGCTACTGCTACAGGTGAGTACTGAGGCCCCAGGTGTCTTCCCTCCCCTGCCTACTGTCTGGGACACAGGACAGGTGTTGTGTCTGACTCTGTCTCCCTCTGTTGGGGGGCTATAGGCTAGTTGAGGCAAGTGGAACCTTATCAGTGACTTGTCCAACGAGGGAAGCCTTGGGGCCTCAATTCATTGAAGACTTGTTTTGAGACAACTGGAAGAATCAGCACTGTGGATACTTGCCTGTGTGCAGGGCTGTGGTGAGCCAAGAATAGAGATCATATAGTTGGGTCATGGGGCAGTTGTTGGCAGCTGTGACTGACAGCCCCTTATGCAAACGCATTCTTCAGTGGATCCTTCAGTGGAGTGGTGACACGTGCCAAAAGTCACTCTGCCACACTTCCTGAAAGCCTAAGAGTGCATATGTATGTGCGTGTGCTTGCGTGTGCGTGCTCATGAGTCAGAGAATATGACATGTCAACTTCTCCCTGTGTCAGATGATATGCCCTGGAAGCTGGCAGGGGATTCTCAGGCCAGGGAATATCCCTACATGATTTTTGTCATTCATGGGTCCTCCTTGGGTCTGACAACAGGAGTGGTGGGTGGGTGGGTAGAGGAATAAGGCCTAGGTGAGTACAGGTTTTGAGAAGGGGCTTCTAGGAAGGCCCCAGCCCTGGTCCTTGGCGACTTGAATAAGGTGGGAGGTCAAACATGGGCCTTCAGCATTGGGTTTCTAGGGAATAGACCCAGTAGCGCCTGCCCCTTCAAGGGCAGCAAGAACCAGCAGGATGTTGTCACTCCCGTCTGAATAAAGCTCCGTGAGCTGGGTCGGAAAGCTGAACATTTATCTTGCTTTCTTCTTCCCACCTCTCTCTGGGGTCTCCAGGCGCGTCTTGCCTTTGCTAACCCCCGTCTGAGACCTGAGGGTCTGGGGGTGGTTGGCCCTGCCTTTCTGCTGTTCCCTGCAGTTCCCCTGCTGACATCCGTGGGAGTGGTAGAATGCCGGGCTCTTGTCCTGTGGCCTAAGAGGGCCTGGGGCATCACTGGGCCTGCTTTCAGACTGAGGTTGCTCTATGTTCTCACTGCCTGAGGCCAGTGTCCTGCCACCACCTGCCTTCCTCAGGGCCATACTCAGCCTCGGCTTTTCTTCCCCTGCTGTGGCTTCCCATGATGCCCTGCTGCTTATGCCTCCTCTGGGGCTGTTCCTCTCAGAGAGGGGAATGTGGCTGGTCAAAGGAACAGGGATCACTTCCTTTTACTTTTTTCTCCCACCCCCATGTCAGGCGCAGGTGAGAAGCTGAGACCAGGCTGTCCAGAGCTCTCTTTTCACTCATAACAGTCCTGAATCCCATGACCTCCCCTTTGCCCAACTCTGGTCATGGTTACACTAAGGCAGAGTTCTGTCATCTGTCCCTACCATCCCCCACTGGACTGTATCTTTCAGAAACCCCAGGCAGCCTTGCCTCCTGACCTAACTCCTGGAGATGCTGGTGTTCCTGGGAGGAATTTCCCTTACATCATAGTATTAGAAGCCCTTGGGGCAGGAGGTAGAGGGAGGAATTGAAAGGAGGAAAAACTTGAAATTCACACCTACAAGATGTGACTTGTAGTCTCCTATTGTTTTCTTGTGGAAAAGCCATATTCCTAATTTAGACATAGGAGATCACAACTGTGTTCCTGATGCAGTTCCATCTGGGGGCCTCACTGGCTCTGTCATCAGCCCTCATACCCTCTTGATTACAGGAGTCACAAACCTGAGACACACAGCTCCTGTCTACCTCCTGCTGGGGGTCAGCTCTCGAGCCTGTGTGTCAGTTCCTGGGTTGGCTGTGTGAGTTCTATGGACAAAGGGAAAGTGCTCTCAGTGTGTTTCCTGTGGTGGGTTCACACGCAGCTAGACACAGCCAGCTTGAGTCTTGGAGCTCACGGAGGGGAGCTTCTGGAAAGGCAGGCTCTTCAGGACCTCTTGGGATCCAGGTAGGAGGAGTCTGGGAATACTAGTGAACCTAGACCTATAGCCCCGGCCAGAGGGGCTAGGATGAGAGACCCATGGGTGGGGTACTGGGAGATGCAGCCTACCTTGGGGCTGGTGGCTGGGAGAGTGGGGAGCCTGGGAAAGGCCAGGATGTTGAGCGGCTGGTATGGCTTTGAGCCTGAAATGGTGAAAATGATCCAACTTGGGGTCCCCAGTGCCCAGGAAAATTGTCCCATTGAATATCAGTGTGAAGGTGGAGGAGGAAGCCTGTTCACATGGAAATAAAGACCTGGGTCTGAAGAGGGGAGGTGGACACCAAAGTCCTGACCCTTGGCTGGGACAGAATTGATCCGTGAGAGACTCTCAATCTAGTTCACGCCCTAGGTGACCCTGGGGTGGTGTGGAGGTAGATTAGAGGTCCCAGTCTGGTATCATCTGGAGAGGTAGGGGTCCCAGGAGCTGAAGGTTTCTGAAAACACTCACTTTTAAGGAATTCTGTTTAAAAAGTGAAAGTGAAATAGAGGATGGGGGCAGTACTTTCCCAGAAGGATTGCTTAGGATCCTGCCCTTCCCAGAAGCAGCTATGTGGCTGGAGAGGGTGACTGGGTGACTCCCTGTTCTCTCTTTGGGTCTCATTTTGCCCTCCCTGATGAAGGGGTAAGATTGGATTAGGTAAGCATCTTACCATTTTTGGTCATGAGAGCTGGGGTGGAGGGGGGATTGTCACTGGATGACCCCCCAGCTCTGTTTCTAAGTGCTGAAAGAGCTCCAGGCTATGCTACGGGAGGAAAAGCCAGCTACTGAGAAAACGTGGCAGTGGTTTACGATTCTCCTCCCCCACCTTTCACCAGAGAAGAGGACGTTGTCACAGACAGAGAGCCAAGCTTACCAGCTCCTGACGCATGCATCATGACCATGAGACAGAAGTGGATACCAGGTAGGCCTTGGGGCTGCCCATGGGCAGGGTAGGGTGAGGCCTATGAACAGAATGGAGTGATAGGCTAACCTGGAGCCTTCACCCCAAGGAAAACACCAACCCACCTGGTGCTATTGCTTTAAGAACCTGGACAGATGCTGTGGCTCTGGCTCTATTACAAAGCTTCTCTGTATTCAATAAAGGGGTGGGTGCTGAGGGGCCCCTCTTTTGCTCTGATTCCCTGGCTAGAGCCCAGACATCTTTGGGCTGAAGGTACATCCTTACCTGGGCAGCCCACTCTGTCTCCAGTCCAGATAGAAGCCATGATGCTGAGCGCTCCCAGGCAACCCAGCCACTGACCTGTGACTGTCCTTTCCTCAGTCCCCAGTCCTTTGTGGGTCCTGCTCCTGTGTGCCCACATCATCACTCTCCTGGACAGAGCCACACCTGTCTCACAGACCACCACAACTGCCACTGCCTCAGCTAGAAGCACAAAGGACCCCTGCTCCTTCCAGCCCCCAGTGTTCCCAGCACCAAAGCAGTGTCCAGCATTGGAGGTGACCTGGCCAGAGGTGGAACTGCCACTGAGTAAGGAGCACAGTGGTCGGGGGTAGGCTGTGGGCACAGAGGTTCCCAGGGTTGAGTTGACTCCTGAGCGCCAGCCCCCTTCTGCCATGTACCACCAACTGGGCCAGCTGGGCTGAACCCTCACATTCTCCCTCCACAACCCAGTGTCATGGGCTTGGCGCAGCTCCCAAGATGCTCCCTATCAAATAGGACAGAGAACTCAGATGTAAGTAATGGTCACAGGACCTCTCACAGCCTTGATTGCAGTGGACTCCAAGGCCAGCCCCTCCACCCAGAGCCCACTGGCCTCTAGCCATCTCATAGGAGCAGTAGCCACCCAGCACTGCCTCGGTCACCTGGGCTCCCAAGTCAGAGACTGGGTACTAGAAAAGGTCATCCTGAGGAGACAGACTCAGAAGAGGAGTCATCACATGAACCAAAGACCCTTCCCCATATTCCCCATGTTTAGGGCTAGGGCCTCTCGGAGACAACTGCACTTCCCCTTTAACAGACCTTCCCACCTAGGGGGAGCTGGCAGGGAGGGCACAGCAGAGCAGGCCAGGGAAAGGGCCTGCTCTTCGGGAGGGCTAACTGCTGCTTGTGTCCCTAGATGGAACGCTGACCTTGTCCTGTACTGCCTGCAGCCGCTTCCCCCACTTCAGCATCCTCTACTGGCTGGGCAATGGTTCCTTCATTGAGCACCTTCCAGGCCTGTGGGAGGGCAGCACCAGGTGAGGGTTGCAGCAGCCAGGTGGGTGGGAAGGAGGCCTCCTTCTGTGGCCCGCATGACCTTTCCTTCCTTTCTGCTCCAGTTGGGAACGTGGGAGCACAGGTACACAGCTGAGCAGGACCTTGGTGCTGGAGCAGCTGACCCCTGCCCTGCACGTCACCAACTTCTCCTGTGTGCTCGTGGACCCCGAACAGGTTGTCCAGCGTCACATCGTTCTGGCCCAGCTCTGGGTGAGGAGCTTGAGGAGAGGCCTCCAGGAACAGGAGGAGCTGTTTCCATATGCGGGGAGGAAAGGGTGGGCTCTGCCAGGGCAGCCTCTAAACTAACGTCCAGCATTCCTCAAGGTCAGCCTGAGGAGACAAAAAGGAACTTAGGCAGGGGAGGTGTGGCCTGGGGCAAAGTGATGAGACGCGTCCCTCCTTTCCTTGGCCTGATCCTCGTTTGCCTTCATTTCCCTAGGCTGGGCTGAGGACAACCTTGTCCCCCACCCAAGAAGCCCTGCCCTCCAGCCACAGCACAGGGCCAGCAGCAGCACGACCTTGACCAGAGCCTGGGTCCTACCTACCTACAGTCCTTGACTGCCTGCAGGCTGTACGGGCAAGCAGCACACCCTCTTCTCCTGTGCTTTGGTTTCTTTCTCTCACCAAATTCAAACTCCATTCCCATCTACTTAGGAAATCACAACTTCCCTATAATGCTCCTCCTCTTGCCATTCTCTCCACCCTTCCTAATGTCCTGCTCCTCACACTGCTTTACTGCTCAGAAACCACTGAAACCAAGACTGTCGATGCCTTAGCCTTGCACGCCAGGGCCCTGCCTACATTTCCCATGGGACTTTCCGGAGGCTTTTCCCAGACAGCTCCCACTCCCATGCCTCTGCTCATTTGGTCCCACCTTCCTCACCACTCCAACAGGGGAACTCTCAAGCCTGGGTGAAACACCGCCTCTTCAGTGAAGTCACCCGCTTTCAGCTCTGGCTATTCTGCAGACTTCAGTCTTCATGCCGTATTTGGTTATCTTCCCCCCTTCACTCTAATGGACTGTTCCAGGGAAGGGATGGGGACAGCGGCTGCTTCAGATCCACACTGTATCTCTGTTATCCCCACATGGGTCCTCATAAAGGATTATTCAATGGAGGCATTCTGACATCTGTTCATTTAGGCTTCAGTTTCACTCCCAGGAACTTTGCCTGTCCCAGGAGGGAGTATGGGAAGAGAGGGACTGCCACACAGAAGTGAAAGACAAAACCACCTTCAGGGGAACACAGGCCCTTGAAAAAGAAGAGAGAGAACAGCCCATAATGCTCCCCAGGAGCAGAGGCCAGTAATGGAGAGTGGGAAGCCTGGAAAGAAAGATGTGGCCCCAGGAAAAGGGATGAGAGGAAGGAGGTGGTCTGGAAGACTCAGCGGGGACAAGGTAGGCTCCAAAGAACCTGGATTTCCCCCCTACCCTTTCCCACTTAGATCAAGGCAACTCAGTACTCAAGGGAGAAAAATAGACTTTATTTACAAGTAATAACATTTAGAAAAGATCCATCCCTGGCCCTTAAAAACCTTCCCATCACTCCATAATCCCACCCCAGTGCAAGTCTGGGGAAGGCAGGGTGTGAGCTGCCGCTGAAGGCTATCCACCCCACTCCTGAGCCACAGGGCCCATCCGTGCTGGAAAAGGGCATCCTCTTGCAGGTGTTCCCACCAAGTCAGACCCGGTCCTGGACTTCAAGAGTGAGAGCTCCTGCTAGGCCCAGCCACCGGGAGAGCAGGAACCAGGGCCTACTCCTCCTCTGGTCCCTTCTAGATCCAGAGGCTGAGAGGAAGACTGGCTAGGCCCAAGGACCAAGCCATCAGCCTCAAATCTGGTTGTGATGGAGAAGTGACTGCTCTAAGAAAAAACGAGGCAAGGTAGGGAGAGCACCCACACTGTCCATGCTCCAGGCTTCCTGGTCCAGCTCTGAGAAGGTGCCAGTGAAGGTCCAGGGACCAGGCCAGGGTGCGGGCAGACATTACTGTCTCTAGGGGTTTGGCTACTGTTGGCCTGGGAGCTGAGAGAAGGCACTGAGAGGGACAGTAGAAGGAAGACCAGGTGAGGTCAACATCGGGGACACAGGTGGGGCCACTCTCTGGTACTAGCCCTTTAGTGCTTTGCCTGAAAGAGACACAGACACATGGCCAGATAAGAACTTGGGATGCCAGCCTGCACCCACTGGCTTGGAAGACCTCTTCCTGCTCCCATCCTTTGTGACCCCCCGGGTTATCAGTTGCTGGCTATGCCTGAGCAGCTCTGGGTGCTCTCCATGAGAATGGGGCCATTTGTCTTCTCTTCTTAATAATCAGTAGCTACCAGGACAGGGACACCTTTTACCTCACCACCCTCCAGCCACCTGGCGTGGCCCTGTCTTGGATGCTGCTCCTTGGAGCGGTCTGGGGGTGACCACGCTCTCATTGGGCCTCCCTCCCCCATCCTGCCAGTGCCTCTACCTTGCCCTTGGCTCGAGGGGTGGCAGCAATGGCAGCAGCAGTGGCAGCGCTGGCTGTGGTGGTAGCAATGCGCGGAGAGCGGCGGGTTCCACTGCGAGTGTTGGGGGAAGCTTTGGACAGGGCCTTCTTTGAGGTCCCCCGCCGCAGAAGGCTGTTCCCTAGCTTCTTGGGTGTGTTGAGGATGCTGAAGGCCATTGACTGGCGCCGGTCAGCCTGCAAGGAAGGGCTGTCAGACTAGGAGAGCTAATGCTGCCTTCCCAGGCCAGCCCGCTGCGCCATGCTCTGCCAGCAAGGTCCCACCAGGGCATCGCTTCATTCCTCCCAGCCCTGGCCTCACCTGTTTAGAAGCTGGAGCCACTTTCTTCTGGGCCTCAGTAGTGCTCTGTTTGCGCCCTTCATGTCTGTCCCGGGGAGTCATGGGGCGTGGGAAACAGCTGGTGGCCTTCTTAGACTATGAGGAAGAGGACAGTTAGGCAGACACTAGCAAGAGGAGTCACATCTGAAGCCAGGCGTCTTGTTCTCTCAGAGCTGAGTGGACCTTGTAAGTCAACTTGTGCAACCTGCTGCCCTCCCCAATTCTGAGCCAGAGGGCTTCCCTTCCCAGCAGTTCCCATCCATGCCCTAGGCCCTTGGAGAGCGGGGGGTGGGGTGTGGACAGGAAAGGCTCCCTTTGGTCCATGGTGAGCTGGACCTGACCTGGGCACAGTGCTGGAGCAACACCCAGGAGCCACTGCGCCTACCTCAGGAGTGCCAGGGCCCTGGTGGGGCTCTAGGGAGACCCGTTTGCGCTGCTGTCGGGTGGTAATGCCAGTGCTCTCTGCTATCTGGATTGGCTGCATGCTGGCTCGGCGCAGGGTCTCCTGGGGGTCTCCAGTTTTCATCTCCTCATCTGAGATGGTGGCCAGGCTCAGGGAAGGCTGCATTAGTGGAAGAGGTGGTCAGTGGACTGTAGCTGTATAGATATGGAGCAGGACCTGGGGCTGTCCCAGAACTCTGCACTCACCTGACACTTAGAGTAGGTGGACCCTTCCTACCTCACGAGGTCTCCCTTCTTGTTCTACTTTCTACATACGCCCTGAGCGAATGGCTACAAGCAGTGCAGTCCTAATCAGATTCCTCTCTGAGCTCTTGCCCACCCCCAGGGACTTCACTCCCGAATGCCCTCCCTGCAAGCATGAGGTCATCCTCCCCCCTCCTCGGGCTAGTGCTCAGGCTAGATCAGCAGGTGGGATTTCAAGGGAGGGCAGGGATGGGAGGCCCTGCACAGTGACCCTAGGGCTCACCCTGGCCTCCAGGGGATAGGAGGTCTTCAAGTGTGGTGGGCACACTCGGTTGCGCTGCTGCAGCTCTGCAATCCGGTTCCAGTCGTCCAGCTGCTCAGGCTCATCCTGGCAAGTGCCCATGTAGAAGCTGTTTCTTCCTGTGGAGGGCAGGGAAGTTGGCAGGTCGCCTGCTCACCCTGGCATGTTGCCAGCCTTTGCTGCCACCTACCCCATAAATTTTAAGCCAGAGTCTGATTCAGTGCCGCAGGTGCAGGAGTAAGGTACACAGACTATTTCTATGCTAGGGGTTTGCTCACCACCTTCTCCCTGGAGAGGGCAGAAGAGGTCACACGCAGAGGCTGCTACTACATCTTATTCACACACCAAGGCTTAGCACCCAACACCCGGAGGAACAAAATAAGGAATTTATTCCCAAGGGCTCTCTGGTACCCAAAGGGCAAGAGCCTCCAGGAAGAGTCCAGCCAGCCTGACCTTTCTAGCAGCCCATCACCACCTGAGAAGGGCACAGAGGACTCCCCAAGATTGTGCTGGGAATCCCAGGCCCTTAGTGAGCATCCCTGGTTCACTCTGGCTAAGAGTGCCCAACACAGCCAGCCCTGAAATGGACAGGTAAGGAAGGCCCTTGAGGCTGCAGGAAGGAGGGGCTACTGGGCAGTAGCAAGGAGGCCAGCCTTGGATTTTTAAAAAATTTGCCTCTTTTCCCTGTGCCACGATCTACCTTCCAGTCTAATTTTTGGGTATAGTAAGTCCCTGTAGTCCCCTCACCTGGAGGGCCCCCACTGGACACCCCAGCTTGGGAGCGACGAGCAGAACTGCGAGTGGTGGGGCGGTAGCCAGGCAGGCTAAGCAGGGCTGAGTTGCCATAATCGGGAGAACCCAGGCGGGCTAGAGACTGAGTAGAGGAGGTGGCTCGCAGGCCAGCCTGGGATGCAGGAGCAGACCGTGTGCTACAGAAGGATGAGTTAGCGCTCTCAAGCTCTTCCACATCTAGCTTCTGGAAAAGAGAATGAACCTGTTGCAGTGGGGTGGACTCTGGCACTGTAAAGAAGCTTCCTGTTCCCTCCCAAAGCACCCAGACTCCATGGCACATCCTCCCAACTGCTTTGCAAAGGACCTTAACGTGTCTGTCTGCAAGAAATGGACCTTACTGACAGAAGCCCTCACAGGGTGGAGCTGATGTTGTCAAGACTCTTTTCTATGCATTTTTTTCATCAAGTCTATTCACAGTGCTTTAAGGGAGGGAATGCAGAGTGTTTATCAGCCCATTTTAGAGGGGAAGTGCAAAGAGAAATGAAGTGACTAGCCACAATCACACTGCTAGGAAGTATCAGAGCTGGGGCTGGGCCCCATGTCTCCTGACTAGTCAGGCTCATCCCACAGCCTCTGCCGTCCCTCAGTCCAAGCTTCCAGGGCACAGACCATCTTCTAGAACTTCCCCAGCTTCCTGGTAGCAGGGGACACCCTGCACACACAGGTCCTCCCTGTTGTACCAGAGGCCTCTTGCCCCTCCTCCCAAACCACCTCTTCAAGATGTGAAACAAAGGCAAGAGCCTGCAGCCTGGCAGGCAGTCCACTGTGCAGCGACAATGCCTCTCAGCTGCATGGGGCGTTCTGGGAGGCACAGGACGGGCTGCAGCTTTGCCATGTTCTCTCCCTTCACCCTGCACAGTGCTATGCATGAAGAGAATGCATGTAGAGTCGAGGTAGGAATCTAATCCCAGCCCTGACCTTTTCTTCAGAAGAGGCCCTAACCAAGTCACTGCCCTTTTTAAGACCCCATGAACTGACTGCTTATCCCTGCCTGCTCCTGACTGAACGTCTGATGCAGACACCCTTGAGAGGAAGTGGGAATTGCCACCCGCAGCCCCCATCCCCCATTCTGGCAGCCTGACCTTGGTCATGGTGATGTTGATGATCTGTGTGGTGCGCCGACGAGCAGAGCGGGTCTTACGACCGGAGTCCAGGAAGACGTCTCCTAGGGAGTCCAGGCTGCTCTCCAGGGGCGCCTGAC